TCATGCATATCAGGCAGAGATCGAAGACCACACAGATCAGGCAGTGACCGCTAACCACACAGATCAGGCAGTGACCGCTAACCATCAGGCAGATCAGGCGAGTGCAGCAGGTAGCATATCGGAGACAGAGCCTGAGTTTGATGACCCCTACCTCGAGGAGGATCCCTATATACAGAAGCCTCAAGATCCGCAACCGCCTACCCGACCAGTGCCCACCCCTGCCAGGGCTCCTGATTTGCGTGAGTCCCAGGATGCCCAGGTATTGCGTGAAGTTTCTTTCGCTACTGATGATGATTCAGAATTCGAGAAGAATCCAGCTGATGATTCTGATTGGCTCGACGAGATGGTTACTTGATAGCAGCTAGAATAGGTATTTCATGGGAACCGGGTATCAAACACTTTATGTTAGAGGGGGCGCATTCAGGACCATGGCGACCTTATGACTGCCCTGCAGCAGAGCATCCCCTCGGCCGGTCCCGAAGAGCAAGCAGCAGAGCCGCCAAAGTCAGCCTCAGAAGTGGCTTAGCCAATTTAAATGTAAACACATCCCCAACCTAGCGTATTAGCTGCATCATTGCCTGCATATAGATCCTGACCCGAAGCATCTTATCCCAGGTGGTAGTGGAAGAGGATGCGTATGATGGGCATGATGAGCATGATGGGCATGATGGGCATGACGACGCAAACAGAGAGGCTTCTACCCGGCCGCCTACTACGAAGGCCCCTACACTACACCATCAGCTGTTTTCCATTTTTAATTAGCAGACCATCTTGATCCCATGACGACCCTAGTATAATTTTCTCAGTCTTTCCAGCGTCTTGTATATTGCAACCTAAACCCTTAACCGCCCGAAAGCTGCAAGGAGCCAATGATTGTGACCACCGCAATGGTTGCAAAATTGGACGCTGTCCTCCGACGGCTGTGCAAACCTACAGCTGGCAAAGGACGGAACTCTGCGCAGTTTTCTGTGAGCGACGAGGTCAAGAAGGCTTGGGCTAAGGGAGGTACACCCAGGAAGGAGCTCCTCTCAATCTTGATCGAGTATCAAGGTGACAAGGACAGGAGGGAACCCGCATGAACCCACTAGCAATCCACAACTTGTCAGTAATCAACCCCAATCCCCAACTTAACCAAAACAACATGCAGGAGCGCTTCGTCGAGAAAGCTGAGCTTTATATGGAGAGCAAGTCTGAGCAGACGCTCTGCGTTCAGGCTGGATGGTACAGTGAGGCCGCCATGGCTGAGGAGCTTCGATGGAGTGCGAATTTTGGCTTCAAGAGGGTCTAGCTCATGTTCGCCCAAAATACCTAGATGTGTGGATTAGATCTATAAGCTTAACCATCTATTGCAGCTGCAGCTCAGGACCCGTATCAAGGCCGCCAGGAAGTATTGTATGGCCACTCCAGAGAGGCGCCGATCATTGGTGAGGACACCTTCCATGCAAAAGCCATTCCAAAGTGCAGGTGTTGTTACGTCTAACTCTTGTGTTTCGCGAGGAGAGACAAGTACGAACCTGATGTTCGCGAATTCTGGATTGATGTCAAGGTGACTGGCGAGCTCAAGAAAACCATATCTGAGGTCACTATTCGACGCTTTGAGGTGGCTGATGTGAAGTCGCGTTCGATTCCAACGCCGCTAAGTATGTCAGGTGGCCCTATGGTTCCGGGCTTTGATGAGCGTGAATCTTCTGACGAGATTTCCGGCAGTGAAGATTCGGATGGGTCATACAAGGCTAAGAATAAGCGACCCATGCGTGCCCCAACCTCAGACTTCGGGCCCTCAAAGAAGCGAGCGGCGGAGCAAGCTTCTATTGAGGAAGTGCTTGAGGAGCCTTATCTTTATTGGGCTTTACGACTGCTTTTGCAAAATTCTCAGTTGCATTTTCTAAGCCTACCTGTTACTGCCCAGGACATCGAAAATGTTCCAGCAATGTTGTCAACAATCCTGAAGACCCAGAGCAAGGCCCTTGCAACCGTGGAGAAGCTTAAGGGGAACTCGTCGCATCTTGGCTGCGTGTGCGGGCTTACCTTATAATTATAATATACCCCTCTATGTTGTACCTGGGCCCACTCTAAGGACGGACCGCCTTTCCAAGCAGGCCCAGGACTTGTTGGGTCTTCATGATGAGATTGCTGAGCTAAAGTCGATGTATGATTCGGAGAAAACCCTGGACGAGGGGCTACTTGGCTTAACCCATTACTATGGTAATCCTTGCCTTATCTGTGTTTTCGTAATTTGCAGTTCGAAGTGTTGCAGACTTAAGGAATGCGAAGAAGCTCAAGCGGAAGTTTAGTGAGGTGGAAATGCTGCGCCTTACCTGAATTGTGCTACGTCTTACCCATTCCGGCCCCAACCTTGATCGAAATGATCCATGGCTCTCCCAGCTGCGCGTGCCTTTGGGGATTGGGTTTTGAACTTTATCATTGGGTATGGTAGGTGGGGTGCACAAATAGGGTTAGGGCGTTCGGGCTTCAGGATTGAGACCAGGGCTCAAACTCTCATAGGTTAGCATGCATTCCAGAGTCCTGTTGAAAATCTAAGGTGCTCCAAGATGGTCATGGAGGAGAACAAAATCAAAAAGTCAGGGCCTAGGGATGGGGAGGTGCAATCTGTACATGGAAATGCGATGCTATTAGACTAGCCATGCAGATCCTATAGCCATTCCCTTTCAGGCTCAACCACTCCAGCCGATCCTCGAAAGACAAGCCCCGCAGGCGCACCCTGAACCCCGCTGGAACCGATGATGCTGATGATGAGTCTAGTGAGGCGCCAGCGCCAAAGCCAAAGGCTTCGGCAAAGGCGAAGGCAAAAGCAAAAGCAAAGGGTAAGGCGAAGGCCAAAGTCATGGCCAAAGGTTCTTCCAAGAAGCCTAAGGCTACGTGAGAGCTGAATCTTGAGGCACTTGATGATGTAGCTATTTATAGCAGCTAACCGTACCTCATCTAGATCTGATGTGCTATCAGAAGGATCTCTCGAGATCAATATTTTGTGGTTCAGTCAGGAGTGTTGTATGAACAACGCCTCTGAGATTTGCCGGGGCTCGTGTACGCATAGATCCGGATCCCAGCTGTCAACAGATTGCAAGATGTAGCCTCAGATTTGCAGTTCTAGCAGTATACAGGCTGGGGGCTGGCCAGCGTACCGATCAAACTTCAGAACTGATCAGGGGTTCCGCTGCACGTGCTCATGCATCGACATTGGAGTGCAAGCTGC